GGGGGGGGGGGGGGGGGAGGCGTACGCCCTGGATATCGAGGATGCGTTGCGCCATGCCTGTCATATATAATAAATGGTTAATGATGTTATTGCCGCTGGTGAAACACGATTGATAAGGACAGAAATAAGACGTAAAAACCCACTAAAGAGTTGTAAGAAACCATTAATGCTGCTGTAACATCGGTACACTTACACATAAACACACATGGAATAGATGAAAATATATACACATAGATCTATGCAATATAACATAAAGTAATTGCTTGAAATTAGGGTAAAGGCATCGTCCAAGGGTTCCATTCTCTATATACATATGTTCTCTTCATCCTTGGAATATATCACGACGAAAGTGTACTGTACCACTTGTAAGTCTGGAAACCATTACGGATTCTCGCATACATTTGAATTTTCAATACAGGATAAATGGGATCATATTCTTGTTTTTCAAGGATAGTCCAATACGAAATGTTTCTTTCTAATTATCAAAATAGTTGCGATATTTGTTTTGCTTTGTTCAAAAGTACTAGACTTTTCTGTTAATACACCTATTATGATGGCTAGCACAGTATACGTACCTGTACTTTGTCTAGAATTTTTCGTTTTTCTGTTCCTTCTGTATTTCTATCTTAGTTACCTCCCTTGTGCCGCAGACCCGGAAATGATAGTGTGCCACACGTGTCAGGGTTTGTAAACAACGGTGTAGTAGGCTTATATTACCAGATAGGTTTAGGAGACAGTGAGCTGTGGAGGTCATAGTAGACATGGATACAGACCTAGCGGGGCGTGTGCAGGAGCGGGACGTTGTGATACTGGACGGAGGGGTCGGGACCTCTGTAGTTGTTCACTTACACGGTAAGGAAAGATATGGTCTATACAGTATACGCTGAAACACACTGTACCATTAGTGTTCTGCACTCTAAGTTGTAACATATTTACTTATCAGAGTACTATAGTATAATGTATGGTTTAATATAAACTGTACTAGCTATAATATATGGTTTAATATAAACTGTACTAGCTTATACAGTCTACATATCTTCTTAAAATTAACGTACCGAGCACCTGCACGTATGGATTCATACCGGGATGTATTCGACCTCCGTGTATTAACCAGTTGACGGGACAATGTAAACTAGACTGATGGAATACACGTTAACACATTTAAGGTTTCCTTTCATTTACGTGACATTCTCTATCTGGGTATATGCATTGCTATACAGCGAACCTAAGCTGTGCTTTATAAAAGGGACATACATGGTATCTACTCTTATGATGCACTGTATATGTATTTGTGTATTACATGATAGTGCACCAACTGTTCATGTACACATGCGTACGTACACCTATACCTTCGAAGTAGATTGGATTTACATGTATCGTGTTAGAGGAGATATTTTGATAAAAAAAAAAAAAACATGTGTCGAAATGAAGAGAAATTGATATCAATATGTTTTCAATAAAATGCTAAATCTGATATTTCTATTGTGTATATCGGTATAGGTCATATATATACGTACACTTTTACAAGTAGTTTTTGTATGTACACACGTACGTTCAATTAGATTTGTGCACTGAGGCGTACCTTAGGTTTCAACTTACTTTGCACATTAGGAAAAAACGTACCGGATTTCGTTAAATGTTTTTTTTTAATTATTATATCGTGCTTGAATGCATTAAAATCGTTAAGAGATGATACAAATATTTCCCTAATGTATTGGGTAGCGTGTGAGGATTCATCAGATGTATATCCAGTTACTATACTATAAACCTTATATATGTAGGGTATACACGTATTCAATGTTTGTTCTCAGCTCTAATCTGTTTAATATGTCACTTCTTCCCCTTGTCTAAGCGAAACACTTAGTGTAGTAGATATATATTAAAGTTTGTCATTTAGCACGCGTGATTGATCAGAAAGGAGTAATAGTAGCAAGTTGTGTATCTAAACCAGCGGCGGATTCAGAGAGGAGCGGGTTGGTGGCTTTAGGACCCCACACCACTCATATTCCCGTTTGGACCCAGATTTAGTGACTTTAAGTAATGGCCTACCTGACTTACCACGGCATAATAACTTTGTACAGTTACTTGTTGCTTCCCATGATTGGTCACTAGTACGGTGACTAGGCAATATGCTGAATTGATCAAATGTTGCCCTCGGCCCACAGCTACAAAAGTATTTATCGGGACGATCCGAACATCACCTAGAAATTAATTAATGTTTTTTGACTGGTAGGGCATGAAACAACACACAAATAAAATGTCGATGAAGTGATACAGTGTTTATATATGTGAAAAGTGAAATTGGTAATCGAACTCACCTGGCATACAACTTTCATCATCAACTAAGTTTTGTATTCCTAATAATATATCATTCCTACTGACACGTAGTTGGTACCAAAATGATTTCATATAGGTTGAACATTAATGAAATGTAAAACAAGTTAGTAAATGAGTCGAATAAGCAACTAGATAAGTGTTGGTCACTGAGAATTGGTTACCAAAATTGAATCCCATTATAATATGTAAGGAGGTCCACTTTGCACTAGTGTTTGATAGTTGTAAACTCAATTTAGCTAGAACTGCATACACAGACACATTTACAGGGTTTGCAAATAATCCGGTAAACTCCCTCCCTTTTTGTGAAGTTTCGAATTGATGAATACATATTATGCAGAATTGATCTATCGCTGTATTTATATTGTATCACAGGTGCCACAGCGTTGTCATGGAAATGTGATGGGAAAGAAATATTATTCCTCAGGTAAGTTATTGATACCTTTCTACCTTTATATTTGTTTGGGAGAAGCTGTAATTGTGTATGATACCAATACATATAGGTTGTAAATTTAATGTACTCTCCAAGGCCATTATTAAATAGGAAAAATACCTCTGTTGAATCGGTATCAAACAATCGTTATAGAGAGACAATCCTGACTAATTCACAAATTTAAGATGAAAGTGTGCTCCCTAATGTTGCTTTCAAATAGTACGATCTATGGACATTTATAAATTTGCCATCTCCCATTGTAGGAATATATAACTATAACTATATTTACAGTGATTTATTTGTATCATGTCTATCAATTAGAGCCGACTGTACTGGTATTCCAATCTCCTAAACATATGATGTAAAGACACGTAAATGTTTAAGTTACTCCAATAGTTTGGTCACTAGACTTGTATCAGGGCTATTGAAAATGGATAAACGATACTTTGCCTTCCCTTCTTTTGTGATGTTTTGTTTTGTAATGAAAAGAATTTTATTTTTTGTATCCCCTATATCCTCTGGGTTATCAATATTCTTTTCATCTCTAGTCTCTTCTGCTATTGGATTGTTCCTTAATATGGTCCCGTTTACGAGCGCCATAGTGACCTGATTTTATGCTCCTCACCGTGTCCTGGGCCGTTTTTCAGCTACACACGTTCCTGGATGTGACTAGCCACATCTTGATTGATACATGTACCATGTGTGAAGCAAGACACGTTTACTCTGGCGGAAATCCTGGTTTCGCCTTCGGGTTTTTTCCGCGTTCATAATTTGTTTGCTGTCTCCCAAAGTCCAGATGCTGTCTTTTTGTATGGTCTTAATCAAGCACATTTTTACCTAACCGTCATACAAACATATTTATGGATACCTATATACAATCCTTCATTTACTTATTTCTCTTATGTTTATGTATGCCTCTTTTACAGTAAAAAAGCCGTACTGGATAATTCAAAGGCCATACGTGGAGGGATACCATTAGTTTTCCGTAAGTGGTGGTACGCATCTATCTGTGGTTGGTTCTAAAGTATGGACAGTCCTGGGAATGACGTCATTACAAAGTACTCAAAATAAGATAGAATGACATTCCATCTCAGAATCAATTCGTAAAGGTTAAACAAGTTACTAGCATGTACGTTTTCTGTCTACAAATAACACCGACAAAAATCATTGTTTTTGTTTTTTATAAGTTAGCGTTTTGTGTCTGTTTAACGTTCATAGATCGCTCTTCTATTGTACAGCTCAGTTCGGACCCTGGACATGCGGTCCCCAGCATGGATTTGCCAGGAACAAGCGATGGAGTGTGGAATCGCAGCCACAAAAGGTGAGCAGACGTTGTACTGTTAGCGATATTGTCATGTGCGTGTTGTCACTAAAATGAAAACTGTAGGGGAAATAAGCGATTGTAAGCTCTCATCAAGCAAGTTCATTAAAGGGTTTCCGTGAATGCCTAGCCAGTATATCTTCTTCTGTCGTATGCACATGAAAATTAAAACCTCACAGAATTTACTAAGAAACACTCCTCATCTTAAAGATTAATATTTCGACCACGCTTTCAGTCATCATTCTACAGATCTAAACGTTACATTGTGTACAATGTATTAGTGACTACTCCCATGTATGTTGTAATAGGCGGACGGGACAGTGACTTGTTCCCTAGCTCTGTCGGATGACGAGGACACTAGGAAGATCTGGAACTATCGGTAAGGAGGGGGTGTCTGTTGATACAATTGTGTTTGTGTTAGGTGTAGGTAACCATATGTGGAAGATACATAAAACGGCTGTAATGTTAATGGATAAAGTTTCTTCATTTCTTTACAGGTTTAAGTTAGTGTACACTTTGGAATTGACCAAATCTTCGCTATCTACAAGACTTACCGTCGACAATACAGGTAATTGTCTCCGAAAAACGTTCGAGATACCACGTCCTCATAACTGCTGTCGACAACACAAAGATATCCATCTTAACTTTGTAAATGGGTACTGATACAGTAACCTTTCTTGTCCGAACACATCTTTGATAGGTATGTCGTATACCAAATCAATTTGTACCTGGTCTTACGTAGCCAGAATCAACTATAATGTCATAACGACCATAGAACTGTTGTTGCAAGGTCAGTTATCCAGGCGCGTAGCTACCATGTAAGCCAATAAGCCCGGGCTTGCACATAATTTTGACAAGTATAGGTTTTCATGATGTTTTTATCCTTGCTGATACTATAATGGGAGTTTAAGTTTTGAATATATAGTATACAGATGTAATTCCTCAGATATGATACATTGTTAATAGTTAGTGGGGCAACCTCGCTTCTCGAAATGCCCAACAAATAACAGGAGCAAGTATAAGGAACCAGTCACAAAGCACAAACAGAAGACGAAACTGTGTGGGAGACTGAGTAAAGGTGACAGTGGGGGTAACATCGCTTCCCAATTAACTCGGATCAGATTATGAGTAAGACAAACCCAATTGCATGTTCACTAATGCATAAGTATCAAATGCATTTATCAAGATTAGATAAAAACCAGACAATGTATGTATGGAGGGTGTACAAAGCAATACCGACGGTTAATCTTCAGAATTACACTGGATCCACGTAAATAGGTATATATATATACAAAAAATAGGACTTTTTTCTTGCGGATTAAAACGAGAAAACGGACATCAGGACGTGGGAAATGGCTCCTTCGGCAACCCATGTCGGGCTTACACATGGTAAAGGGGCTAGCTACGCGCATGTTATCTAAATAAAATGTTTGTTTTTTCCATTTCTATAGTTACTGTCGCTACGTTACATCAGGTGATTGACGAACTTTGACAATGTTTGTGTTGCTATACGACACTCATTGTTGCTATGGTTACTTTACAGGAAGCGAGGGTTTTACATTTACCACATTGATGCATTCCTACTTCCTCACGCCGGATATCGCCACGACCACTGTCCGTGGGTTGAAGGGACTGAATTACGTAGACAAGGTCGGTACAAGGGTTAATGCTGTGCTAGAGGACATACGGACGGAACTGCTATATGTAAATGCCCTGTAAATCCGACAATGTGTATCACAACACTTAACGAAGAAGTATGATGACGTGACATGACAAAATGTAGCATGTGACGTCAATACAGTTAACTTTATCAAAAGCTACTTTTATTGCAATTGCATTACACAGTTCAAAATTATATTTATAAACGTGTAGCGTCGTAATATTTCAAGGGGAACGTCACGCACTCACACGTGTGATAGTACCTGTACTATTTGGTAATAGACACATTAAGCCAAACCTGAATTAAACTGCACCATACAAATGTTCCGTCCTTCTTGGACGGACTCTATGTTCTATTTAAATTTGATTATGCTGAACCATATTACCTTCGAACAATATGGACAGCCCAATTGGGATTGGTGTTCACTATACACAGATTAAGTGAGAAAAATGTTCCCTTTAAATGCGATGTGTTACAAGATTTGATTCTATGCCGACATAATTAATTCTCCTAGCTAAAGATTTTACACTCTTTGCTTTAAAAGCGCCTGTCATGAAGAGGTACACATTCTGTACTTCATGTCTACTGTAGGTGAAAAACGGTCAGGAGCTCCAGGAAGATCGAGACAAAGTCACCATTCCCCAGAATTATGACAGGTGTGTTAATTCAAATATAGAAGTTTTCACCTGTGCTATATTGCTGTGTAACATGAGACATTTGATATTTTTGTATTTTTGATATATATTATATTATATATTAGAAAAATCATTAATTTGACATCGATAGTTCAATCTTTCTTGACTGTGTTGACAGCAGAACTTTATGTGTATATTTTAGCGCACAGTTTAGCTTTCAAGACGAAGAAGTTGAATTTTCAAGTTAAGGTGGCTTAATCTTAATTTAGTGGCTTCATCTAGTATCGAATTGATTATCTCTTTGGAAGCGACATTTTCATTTAGGTTTTATCAAGTGAACACAAATCAAAAATGTGCGAGTAATTACTTTCATACTGTTTTTCATACAAATAGCTTTGTTACTCATACAAATAGCTTTGTTACTCATACAACTGACTTTGTCACTCATACAGCTGACTTTGTCACTCATACAACTGACTTTGTCATTTCAGTGTGTATTGTTTTAAAACTTTTCAATTGCTGAACTCTTACAATAACTCCACCTGAGCCATCTTCATCCCCATACAGCTAGGGTGCCTATAACTAGCAATTTAAGTATCATTTATAAAGTCTCAACTCAAAGCCTTAATAACTAAGAGGCCTAGGGTTATGCTATTTGGCCAGTAGAATGTTAGGATGAAGGGCTACCAAGTTTGTTCAAATGAATGACCTTCATCGATTTTCAAGGTCACATGGGTCAATTGTCTTAAAAAATATTTTAACAACTTCTCAATAACTAAGATGCCTAGGATAATGATATTTGGACAGTAACATGCCAGGATGAAGGGCTACCAAGTTTGTTCAAATGAATGATCTTTACTAATATACAAGTTCACATTGGTCAACTATGTTAAAAATGTTTAAACAACTTCTCAATAACTGAAAACCCTAGGATGATGCTATTTTGCCAGTAGCATGCTGCGATGAAGGGCTACAAAGTTTGTTCAAATGAATGACCTTGACTCATATTAAAGGTAACAGGGGTCAAATATGTTTAAAACCTTTAAATCACTTTTTCTGAATAACTTATAGGCCTGGGGTAATGATATTTGGCCAGTAGCATGCTGGCATGAAGGACTACCAAGTTTATTCAAGTGAATGAACATGATTTTATTCAAGGTCACATGGGTCAAATTTGTTAAAAATCTTTAAATGACTTCTGCATAACCATGAGGCCCAGAATTGTGATATTTAGCCAGTAGCATGCTTCGATAAAGGGCTAAGAAGCTTTTTCATTTGAATGACCTTGACCCACTTTCGAGGTAACATTTAATCAAATATGTTTAAACATTTAAATGACCTAATTTCAATAAACAAAAGAATAGGTAAGTGATGTTTTGCAAGTTGCATCCTGAGATAAAGGGCTATACAATTTGTTCAACATAATGACCTTGTTCGACTTTCAAGGTCACAGGAGTGAAATGTTTTTAAATCTTTCAACAGGTTCTTTTGAATTACTTTTAATCATAAATACTGATATTTTGCCTTTAGCTTTATTTAAGATAACTTTTAAGGCTATAAATGTGAGATGTATACCAGGTGAGCGATGCAGGCCAATTGGGCCTCTTGTTAAATGAAAAATCATGCCAGATACCTCATGTAATGCGTGTAAAGTGTCACTGGGCTCCAAAATGTGTTTTGTTTTGCTTATTTGATGCCTCAGCTGCTGTTGTTGTCCATGTGTGTGGACGTTGTGGTATATTCCTTTATTGGTTGCGGTTATATCTTTTGGTGTAAATTGTTAATATACAGTCCTTCTGTGCGTTATTACAAATATACATTTCTTTGTTAATATCAATATATAACATTCCCATGTTTGATGTAACTGATTTAACGTGTCTTACTGGTGGTATACTATATCGTGACATGGTACATGTACATTTCCCGTATCATTGACAGAGTGTACCAGAAGTGTCCAAGTACTGTATCCATGGAGTGTAGTTCCCACACCGTATCGGTGAACCTCTCCAACTTCACAGACGTTGGTAAGTAATGCATAGACGTCAGATCGACCATAAATGCTCCCTTCTGCTTTTAAGTGCGAGTTTTGTTTTCAGTTCGAAATATCTTACTCTTTACTTCGTATAATACTTTAGTGTCTTAGTAGGAGGGTATCTCCAGAACAAATGTACGATGGAACTGTGCAAACACTGGGTACGAGTCCGACAACGCGGATACTAATCTGCCTAACTCGCGCTATAAGTATTTATATTAAACGTTTAAGCTCTGTTAAAGTTGCAGTACCGACTTTTAGATATACCTGTAGTTAGATTTAGGTACAATTTTTTTGTGAAATTCAAGATTTAAAATAACTTCACAAGTATAACATTAACATATATAAAGAAAGGTAAACCTGAATAAAAAAAATCATTACAAAAAGTAGTTTAAACGGCATTTATCTCGAGACGTCGAATTTTTGTGCGGATTTCATTACACTTTGCCAGCTTCACTTCCGCATGTGATCAGTCATATAAGGTTATAAATTATTTGTCATTTTGTTAGTCTACCACGAGTGTTGCTGTATGTGCTGTTGATCTATCGGGCCTGTTGCTGTATGTACCATTACTTTCAGTTGTGTGGAATCCCTGGAGCGAGAAGGCTAGGGCCATGTCAGACTTCGGGGACGAGGAGTACAGCACTATGGTGTGTGTTGAGGCGGGACGCGTGAGCTGTCCCGTACAGATAGCCGCCGGTCAGCAACTAGCCTTCCAGCAGACGCTCCAAGTCCAGGCTAAACTCTAGATGGAGAGTGTACAGTTGACACCTAAAATGCCTACCGTATCTGGACGTAAATCATCTAATGTTGACTAAATTACCTAGATCATTGAATTCCAACTCTTGTTATTTTTATAGTACTATAATCTTCGTTATAAAATTGTTAATGGTTGATTTTTTGTTCCCTCAAGGAAATTATTTAACTTGTAGTATATCGTTCTGTTCTGTGTTGGTAGAGTAGCTGTTTAGAGTGAAACATTCCAAAAGACACTGAAGACCTCAAGAGGTCCTAAAGAACTGCCACCTATACTTTATTCACATGTTCCATTGTCACCATCACATTTGCCACAATATCTGACACAATTAAACTTTATATAATTACTTCTGATTTTCACTATCCTAAAAGACACACTTTCTGACCTCAAAACACTCCTAACTTCACTAACATTACTACACCATTGAAACGTTAGACCAAACTAGAAATACCAGACAAATGTTACGATATTATATTATAAAAACAAACTCTTATGATCTGAAACAATCAAAAACCAAAACGTACCAATACAAAAGGAATCATTCAATTAACAAATCCTATCAGATACTTCTATACACAGTGGCATTGTTACTAATGTATTATACGTCTCTGCTAATATACAATACACAGTTGTTTACATTTATGCATGCTACTGTTCTACTTTTTGTTTAGTATATTTATGCGGAATTTTAACCTTTTTCTTTGGTAGCGATATATGTACTACCTAGGGTGTATATGTTGTATTTAGTACACTTTGGTAGCGATATATGTACTACCTAGGGTGTATATGTTGTATTTAGTACACTTTGGTAGCGATATATGTACCACCTGGGGTGTATATGTTGTATTTAGAAGACTTTATTTTTTCTAATAAAAGTAGTAGAACTTCTCATTGATATTTTTTGGTTTTGTGTTTACCTTATATAGCCCGTGTACACAGTTGTGTACAGATCATCACATATTTACCATTACACATGTGTGACGGCCTACCGTATAGATGTCATACAAGCCTGTGATTGTTACCTTGTTTCACATGTAATAACAGTCGTATACATATGTGGGACGGTTTACCGTATAGATGTCATAAAAGCCTGTGATTGTTACCTTGTGACACATGTGTAATGGTTACTGTGTAGATATTCCGTCTTTGCGTATTGCAGCTTTATCTTCTCTTGTGAGCAGGTATTGATTGTTACGTCATTGGTTTGTGTGAGAAAACTACGTCGTTTTCTCACAAACAAGTGACGTAACAATCAATATCTGCTCCAAGGAGAAGATAACTCTGCAATACGCAAAGACGGAATACTGTACGTAGGGAATGCTTACCTTGTATATGTGCAACCAGCAAAACATTACCTACACAAAAAAGGCTTGTTTGGCAACATAGAAAAACACATGTAAAATTTTCAATTTTTTGAAAGACGAAGTATTAACGAATCTAATCACGTTCTGTAATACAAAAACCTTTTCTAAAGATGAAGGATGACGAAGACAATTGACAGGTATGACATCAGGGAAATATAAATGTCGATCTTCGTTATCAGGCTCATTAATATACCTTCTTGTTTTGTTGTCACTGCCCAGTGTTCAATGTAAGGACGTGACATTAATTAATTCAGTTTGTCCTATAGTTATATGGCGGGTGTCGTTGATGAAGTAAAAGACGCTTACCCTTCCGGACAACTAGGTTACATAATTATGTAAATTTTGTACACAATACAATGACGGAAACTTGTTGATATTAATCAATAACAAGCCCCCGTGAACAAAGTGAATTAATCGTGGTTTTCCATTACGGAAGTCGGAATTTAATTTTGAAATGCACTGATGTATGTTTTTCTCTTAAGGTTATTAGGACTCTTACGGTATCAGGAAGATTGTTTCCATGGTTTTATCCAACTCCGACTAACGTTTTTCGGGCTATTTAATTACCGTTAACTGAAACATCAAGAATCGTCGTAAGAGAGCGCAGCATGCACGAGAAGAGACATAACGGTTTATACGATTCTGTCTGCCATCAAATAGCAGGACAGCCTTTCTGTTATTTTATGTCTCGCTATACCCCATATATTGTATTGATATGTGTATATCTGGTTAAGCTTTTAGACTTGACAGTTTTCTGTTACCGATGGTGGCGAAAACCGAGTTATCGGGGGCAATATGTCATAGCATCTTGTTATACGTACATTACAATGTTTTACACTCGCGTTAGATATAATCTAGGGCCAGAAGGCGGCCATTCCATTAGCGTTCTAGCTACATTATGTATTTCTTTGTGTAACAAACGTGTCTAGCGAGATTGTGTGGGTCAGAGAATGATTTTCAAGAATATTGAAATTTCGAATGACAGTCCTACTTTTCTTATTATTTGTTAATGTTCCACAGAATGCTCAATTTGGATTATTTCGATATTGGTTTCTTTTAACCGACTCGCTAAACAGAGGAGCTGGTTTGTGTCTGCAGTCCAATGACAGATGTCACAATCACAGCAAAATATTCGTCATACCTTCTTACGTCTATGGGCAATTCTATGAGTTGAAGAGATGATATCTGTGAGCAACAATAAGAATAGATGGATATTTGACATTTACTGCAATGTAACATATATACCACTCTGTGATGTTGCAAATTTTTATCGGCCATGAAAATCAATGTCAACGCCTTGACGTCATCACATTATGGCGTAATTATTGGTACACTGGACACCAAAGGCCCTTCATTGAAAGTAAATAGTTTTAAATGGTTTATAGAGTATTGAACTACCTACATTTGGCACAAAGGAAGGCAGATGGAAATACTTCAACATCAAGTACTACCTGTTTTCATTGGGAATTCTTTTCGTTTGGAATTCATATGTCTATATAAGCCAACTGAAAGCAATTCAATGATTACATTATATGTTGATTAGTATGATAATATGTAGTATTTGAAAGTTTGGCGATAGGTCGTTCCTAATAATAATTGAGGAAGCTATCCCTGCCAGTATCGAAATGTTGACTGTACATTCATTGGCTTGTGCAAACAGTCAATTTACCACTACAGCAGAAACTGCACTCGAATGCTTAATTAATACGATTGCGACATTGTCATATGTCCATTGTCCAACTATGTTTTTGTTATATCCGTGATCTGTTTCAAACTAACATGCAAACACGACCAATAATTCAAATATCTACGGCCCTGGATGGTTTTTGAACAGATATTTAATATTAAAAATATATAATCATAAAAAAATATGTTAAAAAACACCCACTGCATTCGTAGATTGACTTATTAAGGCTTACTGATGTAAACAGTTCTACACTGGTAATGTATTCCTCTTACGTTCTCATAATCATATGAACCGCCAAATTAACAAATAGTGAGATAAGTAGGAACGAGTTGTGTTGATAATTGTGCTAAGCTAGTTTGATAAATTTGTTAAATAGTCACTAATTTGTCACACACACAGTGGTTTCAATACACAGGAAATTTAACTAGATACGAAACACAACAAGACTGAATATGTACAAATAATTTTCCCCACCAAACGTGATGAGAATATCAGTAACGCACTTGTCAGCAATGCTGAAAAGTAATGATATAATAGATGACGCTTCCTCGGTAAACCATGTTCTCGTTCCATCGTCCGTCTGTCAGCTGAACATGTTCCGCAAACCCGAACTTGTGTTCAAGCTTCGAACACAACTCTTCAGTATAACGATTTGATGGTGTTTCAGCTGTGTGAGAAAACCCTCGAGATTTACACCTTTCCAGATCAACTTGATATAATGCACGGTCTAGTTACATGGTACAGGAAGTGACAGGTGCGCGAACTTCCTTCGAACAGGTAATCGCCCGTTTTCGTTATGAATAAACATATGCGTTCTGTTATGACTTCAAAAAAATGTGGTTATAAACGGCCGTCGTAGAACCTGTTTGACCGTCTAATTGACTATTACATCGATGTCGTCATCCAATGAAATAGGGCCGTGGTGTCGATAAGGCCAAAATGTACGTACGTAATATTTTTATCTGTTATCAATTTGTAGAAATTTTCCACCGTATTTGTCATTCGTTCGGTGTCACTTTTGCTAAGAGAAAATCGAAACACTCTTCTGACTATATGGCGTTTGCCATGGAACAATTGATGTATGTATAGAACAACCAAGATGACAAAATATAAGAAGGCATCTGTAACGTTGCAGCGGATATCATATGTTGCCACAGTTGTAAGGGCTAAATGTATCTTACTCATTCCTAGCATAACTGGCATTTTTGAAGCCAATGAGGTACCAATTGTACCAGCAACTGTAAATCACACAAACCTAAGTAGTATGAATGTGTAACGTCCACAATAAATCTACGTTATAATTTGTTCACTTGTCCTCAAGAGCAAGCACGTTTTGCATCCGTTCTCACCAACTCTCCTTTGTGTGAATATAACGAAGGTGTTAAAAATATATCACTCTGATCTATTCTGACGAACACATGCATGTGTATCACACGTGTCTCTCTATTTCCTATTCTACGTAGAACAGTTTTGCGTTGACTCGTCTTACAAATGCGATTTCTGTGTGACTTGCCTTACAAACGCAGCTTTTGCAATCTTACAAACATAGCAACCTTTGCGTTGATTTGTCTCACAAATACACACAGGCCTCGTGTTGACTTGTCTCACAAATACAGTTTTTGTGTTGACTCGTCAACACCAATGTTTATTTCTGTCTAATCATACTTGTTGTGGTGACTTTTCCTTACGAGCTTTCCTTGTGGTTGTGACACTTTCTAAACGCCAAGAATACAATTTTCTGCTCGAATTTTTCCTATAAAACACGACTTCACGTCGATAATAGACAAACGGTCTTCATTAATTTGAGTTGATGAAAATAGCTTACAGTAATGGGCTTAATCTAGCACACCTAAGATTTTGTGAAATAGCTTACAGTAATGAGCTTAATCTGGCACAGCTGCGATTTTGTGAAATAGCTTACAGTAATGGGTTTTAATCTAGCACAACTTAGACTTTGTGAAATAGCTTACAGTAATGGGCTTAATCTAGCACAGCTAAGATTTTATGTTTACACACTCAGCAGAAATCATTGAACACACTGTCATACCCCGGTATGTATATCGGCCTTTACTGACAATCCAACTGGCAGGAATAATGAGTGTTATACATCCACAGTTTATTAATATGTCTTGTCATGCATGACTTCGTGAAAATTAATCACCATTGCATGCTTTATTACTAGTAGACCTCTTTACCGTTGGTGACGTGTAAATTATGACAGATTGATATGACACTTTCTACAGTTACTATAGGTAGAACCATTACCCATCGCAAAACACATGCATCCCAATGTTTTTAAAACAATGCAAGTATCCCCTAAATTCGGAAAGCGGTGAGTAGTACCGCAAAAATGACCTTATCTCCACAAGTATGGTAGATGAATATACAGTATGCAGTGAAAGCATAAAACATCAATAAATAATAGCCTGCTTCAACTGCTATTATGTTCGTGTGCCTATGTGGTCATTGGTCTGCATTACAAATTACAGTCGGTATTCGAGTGGTGTTATCTGTGTACTTACTGTACACTAATTCACGTCCAGGAACTCTAACCTACCTTGTGGAATAGTATACTTATCTACTGTGGACTTGTATGATATTTCATGGTACAATTCCTTAATATTTAGGAAGTGATACAATATTTAATCATGATAATGTACAATGTTCAACGATTTTTTTTTTTTAAATATTTGACAATAATAATTGATGGCTTGTCTAACAATTTATAGATATCAAAATCAAATACACATGTAGTGTTGACCAGACTTGAATTTATTTTTAAATAAGTACATCGTATTCACTTAAACCGCAAAGAGGTCAAATATGCAACGAAACACCAACAACAAAAAATGAAAGGAAATTAACACAAACATCACAAGGTGAAATACGTATTACCATATACAAAGTAGAGAAGTCGGTTAAGTATTCCATTATAAAGTTAATTAAAGATGTAACACCAACACAGTGTATTAGAGATTACTTGAAATGATATATTCGAAAAGTATTTAATTAACGAAAAAACACATCTTTAAATGTAATAAAGAATCTTTAATTCAATAGATATATATCTAAGAATTATAAATAATTATTATATCTTTCATTTGAAAGTAGTATCTTAAAATGAATTAAGGATATATCATGTAACTTGGTAATAGAGGAATTATATAATTAAATATAGTGTGGATATCTTCAAATAAATATAAAACGTTGTATAGCGATATTTCTATTCAACTAGCGGCATATCTAGTACATTTACAGATATCGTTATTACATTTAAATATATATCTGTTTAGTAACGATGCGAAAAGGTCAATTCAGCCCATACACAGCAATGATTCAATTTAAGTAAGTAAAACGGCTAATCGGGACATATTTACACATACACAGCAAAGATACTGACAAATATAGCGGCAATTACGTCACCTCAGACACCACAAATGTAAATCTTACTGAACTATAGTCGATAACAGTAGGTGAAATGATATCTCTGAACCGTCAACAAATATTATTAATAGTCTCTGAAACATTGATTGTGTATGACTGTATTGAGTAACAGCCAAACAGATATATGTGTAATCTGCATTATCTCACTCTCGGCAGCTAGGATTTTGGCAGAGACTTTACTCCCAAACGTTTCGTTTCTTCCAAGGGCTCCCGAGAAGCAGTCATTCCCCAACACATCAATGAATACCATGACAAGCATCAATTTAAATACAAGATTGTGTAATGTCGTTAATCACAATTTAAACTTTACTGACGCATTATATATAATTAATTGTTTTGTTATTCGTTGACGTTTTGGTGAAAAATCTTTTACGTTGTGTTGCGTGTAACACGTCTTCCTTTGCAAATTGTACACGTGTTTCTGTGTACATTTCACTATGTAACATAACATATCTTCCAATGTACATTGTATCATGAGCAACACGTGTTTCTCTGTACACTGTTTAACGAAGAAAATGTGTTCTTACCTGATGTATGTTCACTGTATCATGAAAAACACTTGTGTCTCTGTAAACTGTATAACGAAGAAGACATGTTCTCACAAATGTCTTTGCACTATAACAAATAAAACACGTATTCTTATGTGCATTGCATCGTCGCACTCATGTTCAACAGTCCTAGCATGTGTCACCTAAAAATGAATATGTATTAATTGCGAGACACACTATCGTATAATTATTACGGTAATGCTGACTTTAAAGTATTGATATGACGAAATAAATATTCCATTTTATTTTCTTTCTTATTTTTCAATTCTGTCTGCTGTAAAAGAACGTCCCAATTGTCAGATGGGAACGATTATAATTAAATAAACATGCATGTCATTCGATCTTATCTGATTGTTTATAAAAGCAACGATAATTTTCAATTTGAAAAAGAATGAAAAAATACCGCATCGTCGACACACACACAGACAAACTTGAAATCAAAATCAATACGACTGTGTACCGTTCAAAATCACCGGGACGGCTGTTACCCTGTTGTATCAATATAATAATTAATTACAGCAATGATCGGCCTGTGACCGATGTCAGCAATAACGTGGAGTGATGACCGAGTACAGTACAACCCCCTGGTAGACCATGCTCTCGTTCCATCGTCCGTCCGTCGTCCGAACATGCTTCACAAACCCAAACCTTTGTTCAAGCTCCGAGCACGGAACACTAGCAAACTTTTGTAACGGTATATACTTTTCCGTCTTGTGGGAATATCTCGGCGATTCACAGATCGCCAAATCAACGGAACGTAATCCAATATCTAAGTTACAGGGCACAGGTAGAGACAGGTGTGCAAATTTCCGTCGAACAGGTGGTAAAATTTTGTACGTTGGTGCCGTAAATTGGGGACGTCGCACGTGAATTTCGTGATACATGTGAGTTTCGTTGTTACTCCAGAAAAAGATGTCAACGTATGGCCAGCGAAACGGTTTATAAGGAAGATGTTTAGATTTTGCGTCATAAAATTTCCAGGCATAGTTAACTGGTGTAAAAAATTCAAAGTCAGGTTTCATCTTGGGTAAAAGTTCAGCCAAGCGTCCTCTATCAGAGGCATTCACCATGACGTCGACATCGTCATCCCAGGGAATAGGACCGTGGTGTCGATAAGACCCCAGCAGCGTACCGCCTTCCAATATGTACGTGATGTTATTCTCCGTCATTAATTTGTCGAACTTTTCAAGAGTTCTTAGTAATTTATCAAGGTCACTATCCGTGAGTTGAGGTTTGAACACATTGTTAGGGAAATGTCTGCCTCGAACCTTTAATCCAGACATAAACAAATAGACGAGGCCACAAGTGAAGACCACCTCAAGGATGATTTTCCACAACCATGATTTAACCAGAAAAGACATATCAGTAGAGCGCCCAACACTCAACAAGTGTTTGTCTTAGACCTAGTTCGAATGTTTGTAACCGCCTCTCCGACAAGGAGAAAAATATACTCGAGATGAAGACCCTGGTTCGTGGCGTAATTCGGCTGTATAAAATCCACAAAACTGAATCTATTTTTAATCCAATTACAACTAAGAGAGTAAAACACTAGTATACACAGCATTTTCCTTGTAATGTCTTAATGCAAATATTCCTTATTAGTCCGGAACTCCGCAGACAACAAGTTAGTTTCACTTCCCTGAAAGTCATTTGTAAACTGTGTAATGGAATAACGTGAGAATGGATCCAGCTAGACGACTGGCGGCTACTGCAGAGAGGCTTGGGGTAGCGTAATTGATAGGCTCCGTGTGATGGTTCTGACTACAGCCTGTTATGTCCATCCCTCTTGTCTGTGTGATAAAATTCGCTGTGACAACACTTAATATGATATCTCCGCTGCACGGACAATGATGATATTTACTGTCAAATATACATACATACTCGGTTTTACGACCACCACAAAGCGACAAAAACTTCCCAATCAGCTGTGTATCAGTATTGATATTTCTTATTGCTTGTTTTTGTAAAAAAAAATACCGATAGACACTCATTCAATCACGATAATTATAACCATCCCCAATACCTTTGCATATTTGTCATCAACACAAAAACAAATAATCAAAATATATATTCAACTGCGAAATTGAACAAATCTTAGCTTCCGACTATTGCGTGCGTCGTTAGAGCCCTAGGGAGAAAATGTTCGTATCCACAAATATTATATGCTTAGGTTGGAAAATTGAAACAATTTTTATGGGGTTCGAATAAATTATTGAGTGTCTCCGTTGATTGAGGTTGAAAGGTGTCTGTCAAGTATCTCACACCTCCTGTTTCAAGAATCCGGCGCGTAGGCTCCATTGATTTGTCGGCAGCTAGTCTTAAAACGAACCGGAAACAGAAAATGTTATACAACAATTAAAAACAAACCTACCGGGATCGGATCAGACTAGTTCATCAACCTACTACGAACGATATTGATATCTTCAACAGGGCCCGTCATAAAGGAGGGAAGTATCTAACCAACAAATGACAGACATATTACGGAATGTCACGAACGATTCAGACAGATTCATAAACACTACAGTATTCACATTATACAATCAATATAAATACACATTGTGATAATATCAACTAATTCCCAAGTTGGGAAAGCGATCAATCATTAAGAAACTCGGGCTTTTCCGTCGTACCTGTTGCCCGATGATATGACAGAAAGACTTGACTGCTTCAATATTAATCCGTTTTAGGAAACACATTAAAGATGAGGAATGAAGCGAGATCTTCTCTAGGAACAAAACCGTGGTCAGTTTGCTATGCTAAGTTAATATGCAAAGCATGGCGTAATGTGGGACATTTTGTCTGACCAGAAAATTGATTGATTACCTTAAACAAGCAACTCATTACTGTTGACTTTCATTGAATTGTATTTATTATTTATGTATCTTTTGTCTTTTTTTTATTAAATTTGTTTAAATTAGCTTGGCGTTTATTATGTACAGCCTTTCCTTACGATACACAGTACGTGGGCTTCCGACACCCTTACATCATATGATTACCCCCTTCCTTTGAATGTAGGTGTTAAGTCGTGACGATAAAGCCTTCACAACGTCTTACCACAACGTAACACAGCAAAATCAATACAGCAATTGTGTTACAATAGTAACAGTACGGTCTAATGCCATTTCCATGGTAATAGTATCTCGACGAAAACGCAAGAATAAAAGGAATACTACACAGTTTCACGAACCGTCCCATACACCTCCCAAACCTGGTGGTTAATACACAGTTGGTGTGGTGTACTGGTACATTGGTAGTCTTACAGTTATGTGGTTTACACACGGTTGGTGTGGTGTACTGGTGGTACATTGGTGACCTTACAGCTATGTGGTTTACACACGATTGATGTGGTGTACTGGTACATTGGTAGCTTACAGCTATGTTGTTTACACACGATTGGTGTGGTGTACTGGTACATTCGTGGACTTACAGCTATGTGGGTTACACACGATTGGTGTGGTGTACTGGTACATTTGTCGGCTTACAGCTATGTGGTTTACACACGATTGGTGTGGTGGACTGGTACATTGGTGGACTTACAGCTATGTGGTTTACACACGATTTGTGTGGTGTACTGGTACATTGGTAGACTTACAGCTATGTGGTTTACACACGATTGATGTGGTGTACTGGTACATTGGTGTTCTTACAGCTATGTGGTTTACACACGATTGGTTTGGTGTACTGGTACATTGGTGACCTTACAGTTACGTGGTTTACACACGATTGGTGTGGTGAACTGGTCCATTGGTGACCTTACAGCTATGTGGTTAACACACGATTGGTGAACTGGTACATTGGTGACCTTACAGCTATGTGATTTACACACGGTTGGTGTGGTGTACTGGTACATTGGTAGTCTTACAGCTAAGTGGTTTACACACGGTTGGTGTGGTGTACTGGTGGTACATTGGTGACCTTACAGCTATGTGGTTAACACACGATTGGTGAACTGGTACATTGGTGACCTTACAGCTATGTGATTTACACACGGTTGGTGTGGTGTACTGGTACATTGGTAGTCTTACAGTTATGTGGTTAACACACGATTGGTGTGGTAGCTATGTGGTTTACACACGATTGATGTGGTGTACTGGTACATTGGTAGCTTACAGCTATGTTGTTTACACACGATTGGTGTGGTGTACTGGTATATTGGTAGCCTTACAGCTATGTGGTTAACACACGATTGGTGAACTGGTACATTGGTGACCTTACAGCTATGTGGGTTACACACGATTGGTGTGGTGTACTGGTACATTCGTGGACTTACAGCTATGTGGTTTACACACGATTGATGTGGTGTACTGGTACATTGGTAGACTTACAGCTATGTGGTTTACACACGATTGATGTGGTGTACTGGTACATTGGTGTTCTTACAGCTATGTGGTTTACACACGATTGGTTTGGTGTACTGGTACATTGGTCGGCTTACAGCTATGTGGTTAACACACGATTGGTGAACTGGTACATTGGTGACCTTACAGCTATGTGGGTTACACACGATTGGTGTGGTGTACTGGTACATTGCTATGTGGTTTACACACGATTGGTGTAGTGTACTGGTACATTGGTGGACTTACAGCTATGTGGTTTACACACGATTTGTGTGGTGTACTGGTACATTGGTAGACTTACAGCTATGTGGTTTACACACGATTGATGTGGTGTACTGGTACATTGGTAGACTTACAGCTATGTGGTTTACACACGATTGATGTGGTGTACTGGTACATTGGTGGCCTTACAGCTATGTGGTTTACACACGATTGGCGTGGTGTACTGGTACATTGGTCGGCTTACAGCTATGTGGTTAACACACGATTGGTGAACTGGTACATTGGTGACCTTACAGCTATGTGATTTACACACGGTTGGTGTGGTGTACTGGTACATTGGTAGTCTTACAGCTAAGTGGTTTACACACGGTTGGTGTATGTGGTTTACACACGATTGGTGTGGTGTACTGGTACATTGGTGACCTTACAGTTATGTGGTTTACACACGATTGGTGTGGTGAACTGGTACATTGGTGACCTTACAGCTATGTGGTTTACACACGATTGGTGTGGTGTACTGGTACATTGGTCGGCTTACAGCTATGTGGTTTACACACGATTGGTGTGGTGTATTAGTACATTGGTCGCCTTATAGCTATGTGATTTACACACGATTAATGTGGTGTACTGGTACATTGGGGACCTTACAGCTATGTGGTTTACACACGATTGGTGTGGTGTATTGGTACATTGGTGCCCTTACAGCTATGTGGTTAACACACGATTGGTGTGGTGTACTGGTATATTGATAGTCTTACAGTTATGTGGTTAACACACGATTGGTGTGGTGTACTGGTACATTGGTGACCTTACAGTTATGTGGTTTACACACGATTGGTGTGGTGAACTGGTACATTGGTGACCTTACAGCTATGTGGTTTACACACGATTGGTGTGGTGTACTGGTACATTGGTAGTCTTACAGTTATGTGGTTAACACACGATTGGTGTGGTGTACTGGTATATTGATAGTCTTACAGTTATGTGGTTAACACACGATTGGTGTGGTGTATTGGTACATTGGTAGACTTACAGCTATGTGGTTTACACACGTTTGGTGTGGTGTATTGGGACATTGGTGACCTTCCAGCTATGTGGTTAACACACGATTGGTGTGGGGTACTGGTACATTGGTAGTCTTACAGTTATGTGATTTACACACGGTTGGTGTGGTGTACTGGTACATTGGTGCCCTTACAGCTATGTGGTTAACACACGATTGGCGTGGTGTACTGGTACATTGGTGACCTTACAGCTATGTGATTTACACACGGTTGGTGTGGTGTACTGGTACATTGGTAGTCTTACAGCTATGTGATTAACACACGATTGGTGTGGTGTATTGGTACATTGGTGCCCTTACAGCTATGTGGTTAACACACGATTGGAGTGGTGTACTGGTACATTGGTGACCTTACAGCTATGTGATTTACACACGGTTGGTGTGGTGTACTGGTACATTGGTGGCCTTACAGCTATGTGGTTTACACACGATTGGTGGGGTGTACTGGTACATTGGTAGTCTTACAGTTATGTGGTTTACACACGGTTGGTGGGGTGTACTGGTACATTGGTGACCTTACAGCTATGTGATTTGCACACTGTTGGTGTGGTGTACTGGTACATTGGTGACCTTATAGCTATGTGGTTAACACACGATTGGTGTGGTATACTGGTACATTGGTGACCTTACAGCTATGTGATTTGCACACTGTTGGTGTGGTGTACTGGTACATTGGTGACCTTACAGCTATGTGGTTTACACCCGATTGGTGTGGTGTACTGGTACATTGGTGACCTTACAGCTATGTGGTTTAAACACGATTGGTGTGGTGTATTGGTACATTGGTGACCTTACAGCTATGTGGTTAACACACGATTGGTGTGGTGTGCTGGTACATTGGTAGTCTTACAGTTATGTGGTTAACATACGATTGGTGTGGTGTACTGGTACATTGGTGGCCTTACAGTTATGTGGTTTACACACGGTTGGTGTGGTGTACTGGTATATTGGTGGCCTTACAGCTATGTGATTTACACACGATTGATGTGGTGTACTGGTACATTGGTAGTCTTACAGTTATGTGGTTTACAGACGGTTGGTGTGGTGTACTGGTATATTGGTGGCCTTACAGCTATGTGATTTACACACGATTGGTGTGGTGTACTGGTACATTGGTGACCTTACAGCTATGTGATTTACACACGGTTGGTGTGGTGTACTGGTACATTGGTAGACTTACCGCTAAGTGGTTTACACACGGTTGGTGGGGTGTACTGGTACATTGGTGGACTTACAGCTATGTGGTTTACACACGATTGGTGTGGTGTACTGGTACATTGGTAGACTTACAGCTATTTGGTTTACACACGATTGGTGTGGTGTACTGGTATATTGGTAGTCTCACAGCTATGTGGTTTACACACGATTGGTGTGGTGTACTGGTACATTGGTGGCTTTACAGTCGTTCTATGTAGAACAAATATTTTTAAAACAATTCTATCATCGTCGGCTTATCCATATTCACATTTACGCTTGAAATGGGGTTATTATCCTCACAATATTATTCGTAACTTTATTTTGGTTTTTTTTGACGGATTATATTCTTACGCGGATCACTTTTGTGTTGATACCACTTCCAGTTTAAGACGTCATCTGGCACGAGCAAACGTTCTTTTTGAGAAAATACGTTCCCAAATGCCGGGAAACGAGAAAATTCGTTCACAAGTTGTTCCAAAGTCGTTCTCAACTTCTTCTGGGGTATTATCTTACTGACTCTCCATGATAATGAATTTATCATCCTACCGGTAGGTCGTATAAAGTAGTATATAGATGATAATTAATGTTCCTGTTGAACCTGTTTTGATTACTTATGACATATAAGCCTTTCTGACTGGCGATGATGTGAAGGTTATCTAACTGGAATAGTTGTTAAGAGTTTTAGTAAGGGTCACTGGTGTATTTAGTTTGTGTAAGTGCCTCTTTAGTCCTTTAAATCAACTTTAAATATGAAATCTTATCTGTGTAATGATATCTAACTTAATCATTATGGGTAATCGAAAAGGTGTCCATTATCCTTTAACTTAATTTGATTTCAGGCCTAACATTTAATGTCATCCTCTTTTTCAATGTGATGCTTACTGAAAATAATTAATTTTATACTACATTTGATTGGTATGGTTTCCTTCAGTTGGTTATAGAGCAAGCCTTTTTTCCAAAAAAGTTAGATGTTTTGTCTGCAGACACAACTACATACCAATCATGTACAGTGTGGTTTGCACATCGGGGTCAATTAATTTATTTTTAAATTTCAAAAAGCCTAGACCTTTTTTGATGGTGTAGTGTTGCATTGTGAATAAGAATGAGATCGCCAGTTACTACAAGTCTAGCCAGACAGACCATACTTGTGCGGAGCAAGAGCGTGCTGAAGGAGGAACTATGCTAAGGTCGTATAAGTTCAGCTGTGGTACTATTAGTTTCAGGTATACCGATTGAGAATAACCATTTTTCCCCTAAAGAATAATAGTGTTTTCAGACTTATATCAAACACATTCAAAAATGTGTTTGAAGTACATTTTCGACATTGATTATTATTTCAGTACGTTTATTCATAATATGAAGCGTTGCAACACCAATGGTTTTGATAGTGTTAATTAACAACACTGAACAAATAACAAATGATTTTGATAGTGTTAATTAACAACACTGAACAAATAACAAACGGCTTTGATAGTGTTATTAACAACACTGAACAAATAACAAATGGCTTTGATAGTGTTAATTAACACCACTGAATAAATAATAAATGGTTTTGTTAGTGTTATTAACACTGAACAAATAATAAATGGTTTTGATAGTATTCAGCCCTGAACCAGCTAATGGTTTTGAGAATAGTTGTCTCTGAACAAATAACAAATGGCTTTGATAGTGTTAATTAACACCACTGAACAAATAACACATGGCTTTGATAGTGTTAATTTACAACACTGAACAAATAACAAATGGCTTCGATAGTGTTAATTAACAACACTGAACAAATAACAAATGGTTTTGATAGTGTTATTAACAACACTGAACAAATAATAAATGGTTTTGATAGTATTCAGCCCTGAACCAGCTAACGGTTTTGAGAATATTTGGCTCTGAACAAATAACAAATGGTTTTAAAAGTGTTTAGTCCTGAACCGGTTACAAAAGGTTTTAATAGTGTAGAGCATTGGACATGATTTAGATGGTTTTGATAATATTTAGCTCTGAACAAATTACAAATCGGTTTGATAATGCTCAGCACCGAACAAGTTACAAATGACTTTGAAAGTGCTACTCACCTAACAGGTAACCAATGGTTCTGATACTGTAGTGTTCAGCACTAAACAGATTACACGTGATTGTGATCGTGTGCAACACTGACTCCCAATGCAGGATCTGTTTTCACTACGCGTAAATATGTAATGAATTCCCAGAACATAAATCAGAAATGACAGTTAATTTGAAAAATAAGTATCCTCAAAGCAAGTCTGGAATGATTTTATTTACGTGTGTACATGTATCATACAAAGATAGACAGAATGGTATGAAGTCGTGCTTATCTGAGCATGGTCAGAAGTTGTGTTTATTAAGTTGATATATCGCTTTCACAATAGCATATCTGACATATACTTATAACAACAAATACTGTTTGTAGTGAGGGTACCGGTACGTCTTTAGATATATGTACGTAGATGTATCATCCTTAGAAGCCCGGTCAATGCAAAACCAGCAGGTTATATATAATACAGTGTATTACAACACGCATTGTCACATCATATAACAAGGAGTCATTCTTTAAAAATATATATTTCTTTTCAGCCACATTACTTTCAGATTGTCATGGAGACTTCGTCCAACATGGCAGAGCTGTTTTTGTTTGGTACAATATGCAATCCCCGACCTTGACCGTCTCCATGACATAGTTGCCACGTGTCTCTCGGAACACAAAGGGGAACTTCCGGTACAGAGATTGGCACTTTACGGTTTTTCTTGTCTCTGGATCCTTTGGCCGTTCCGCCTTGTGTGTGTAGGAGGAGGTGGTGCAGAGTGTGGGGTCGTATGTCCTTGACAACACGTGCGGTGAGTTACACGGCACAGGCTGTAACGACCCTTGATATGGTTTGAATTGGAGAGGAAACACGTCAACTTTTCGAAACACATAAAGTTGTGTGTATCTGTGGGCTTTATCCCATATGTGAGTTTCGTTTTCTCCAAAAAAGAATATGTCGATATATGGCCAGGCAAATGGTCTTTTAGTTCGAGTTATATTTTTCGAAAAGAATTTCCATTGGACAAGGGGAGGGCGATATAGTGTGTATTTCGGAAGTGATTCCAGTGCACGTGACATAGCATCTTTCTGAGATCCATTGACCAGGACGTCAATGTCGTCATCCCACGGAATCATTGTGTGGTGGCGATGGGCGCCAATTAAAGTCCCTCCGTACAACATAAATGTCACATTTGCCTTTTTAAGTGCGTTGGAGAAATGGTGAAATGTCATAAACATGGCATCAAGTTCATTTACAGTTAAACCTGACCTAAACCGTTTCTCATACAGCCTTTCCCCATCAGGATTTATCTCATATTTTCGAGACTTTTGATCAATCTTGAATAAATAACGAAAATTGTTGAATTCAACTTCAAGTGGATGTTTTAAGTTTTTTTCGAACGAAATATTTGACATCAATAAATAGTCTGCATATTGGCTGTTTTGTCCCCTGTAGTTGTATAAATGTTCATAATACGGTGATACATGACAACGCTGTTTACTCAAATCATTATCAGATTTAGAGGTCGTTTTCCATATACTGAACAAAGCGAATGACACCGACGCTATGCTAATTGTAGCCAGTATGATCATCCGCTTGCAGTTGACCTTTCTGGCGTAGCTATCCCGTCTGACCTTCATGTTGTTACAACCGAATATGGTCGAAATGACTTTGTTCCGCCGACTCCCTGATGTATAGTACATGTCCGACTCGTCCAAATGGGTAAACATCCTTATCTAGTCAACGGTGTACTTCACCACACACAGTGCAACATGCGATCTGACGCCTTGTGTCGTCCTCGTCATGCAGAATTACGCTTTAAATCATTCATTGTTCATCTTGGTCAGGGACATTCTGAAAGGGAAAGTAAATAGATTGTATAAAACCATCGGGTTTACTTTCTGAGGATGTAAATAGTCTCTCCTCATATAGGGTCATTGTAGTTACAACTTTACTATGTTTTCAATTATCCGGCATTGGGGTAATACATACAATAACACTTAAGGTCACACACAACTTTATATATGTATATTTGAAAACTGTAGAAAATGGATAAAAAGGGAGAAAATACGAGGAAGATTTATCATATACTTAAGATATGAATGAAAGGGATAATGACTGAATCCCCTCCAACGAGTGGGCATGGACTATGGAAAAGAGCTAGGCCCAGGGAGAACCACACTCGTTCAAACCTTCGTACCAATTTGAGTGGATAGTATAAGAAAATGTCTAAATTATTCTTTGACATTATACCCCCAACAGCATCACTGTAATGTTTACCTCACAGAGAAAAACACATATATCATAACAATAAAGCGTTCATTGTTTAACATAATGATAAAATATACTTACGAAGATATAGTTAGTTCCAACGAGGCCATATGCTGCAGCATCCTCTATCCGTTCACTTAGGCTGATGGCCACACGTCTGTGCAGTGTGAACTACACGTGATAATGTCATCGTGATGATTGGCCTTTCTGTGTCCATTTTATAACGCGCACTCCCAGTATTGATCGCATGTGCCCAAATCCGCACACTGCACGGCACCAGACATCGCCAAGATTTATTGATTTTAGACCCCGTGCGCACGGAGGATGCGACCGTGGTACGACGTCTCAGCCTCACAAAGTCTACCGGTTTAAGGTTATTTATGGAGTGAAACAATGATTTGGTAACTTGATTGCTAGATTTCGATTACAGTTTTATATTTGCCGTTGTTAAGCCTTCACAAACGACTCGGTTGCTGAAATTAGTTTACAAGAAACCCCCCCTAATGATTTGTACTGTACTTTGCATGTCTACACGTACAAGTTTAGTAAAAATCACTATTCACTGTGATTTTTGAGTGATTTTTTCGTTTTTCTAGGAGAAGCTTCAAATATTAATCATTCTATCGTACTTTTTGTTTTTAATTACTTTCCTTGCAATTAGCGACCGTTATGTACATCCTAATTGATTTTAGGATATATATAACCCTATTCCTGTGTTGAACAGCTTTAAAATGGGTTAAGACCTGATCAAAATTGATTCCAATGCAGATGGTATAGTTATGGGTTAATAGAAAGAGAAAAACGACAAGCGATAGTACCAACACAAAATTACAAAGGCCACGGTGAGTCCCACAGTTCAAACTGGAGACTAAACGGAAGTCCCTTGCACCGTCGACAAGAGGACCATTAATCACAGAGGTGGGCCTTTACCCATCCTCGGTCCCAGGGGGAAATCGCACTCTTGTTTACCCTCGGTCCAAGAGAAAAAGAAGCTAAGTGCGGTTGTTACCATGGAACCGAGGATGACCTTAAACATATAGGTGGAATTTATTCTGGCATGGTTCACGTGCAATTTAAGTTGACGAATAAACCAACAGTTGTAAACGTATTACGTTATAATGGGTTAAGAAGGGACTGTCTTACCTACTGTAGCACCTCTCCATGTTGATTTACATACTTCTACATTGTTTTTGAACACTTTAAACATCGACTTTTACGCTTTTGGCAGATTAGTCGTTAATTGACTAAATGACCTTACGGTGCAGTAAAATGCTAATCTTGTTTGGTTTTCTGCAATCAACATACTAAACGTGGGTACATCCTAACTTTAAATTTCTAATAATTAGGTTCACAAGAGCATCAAATGATCATATTTGTAATTGTCTTAATTGTAAACAGACCAAAACATAATGATACGCATCTTAATTTCCATCACAATTGCAGGTAGGTGATAAATTACATACACGCACGGAATACATCACTTCTACAAGCAAGACCATCACAGCTGTTGGTTTCTTTTTCAATACAGAGTGGTGAAGATTACTTCCTTTTGAAGGAAACAAACCATGATCTGGAATTAGTCTATTATGAATCTTATAACGGTGCAACTGAAAGCTTTTCTGTCCGTGATTATAAAGGTGTACATCAAGTAACTCATAAGTGACTACAGAGGAAACATCAGACATGAATTTGGCAGCTTCTAACTGAACCCTTTTTAAGGGGCTCGGTAGTTCATCAGAAAAAGTATCCAAGACACAGGAGACTCGTCGAATAAAGGACGTTTTTCTTGTCTCTTTACTGCTTTTATATCTTAATTGTTTTAAGGCAGCTACTTTAGAACAGGTTGTTTAATAATGTGATAAACATGATCAAAGCCATTTCCAGTTGCTACTGGAAACACCCCAAAGTGACTACGAGTCCGTAGAAGGAATTCATTGTTAAAGCCAAGATTTAGTTTGATATGGAGTGGTATTGAAGAGAACTACTTCGCCTTTGCAAAATTGAACTTGGAAGTACATAGGGCAGTGATCAGATCAATCCTACAAGTGTTGAAAATCATGGTTTAAGACCTTGTCTACTACGATTTATCATATCACCTTAATTTGGAAGCTGGTCCGGATATTACCGTCTCCGGATTTATCACAAATTTAATCGTCCATTAGCACAAATATCGGTTTGTGTCTCATCATTTTACATTCCTTTTTAGGTGCATCATGCACGTTTGGGTTGGTTCCACATAAGCGTGTCCCGTCAATATTCCTGGCATGGCAACAGATAATCAACTTCAGAACAACACATGTATATGGATCTTCAGATTATATATACGATACCCATGGTATGGGAGCCTGCTGCGAAAATATCGTTATGTTGTACACTTTCTTATTTGTCTTTCGGGTAGAATTTGAATCTTACCAAACACATCATCCAGTCTCCGTTTTAGAAATGCAGGCATATCCTCATAGTCAATCCAGTCTTCGTTAGTTTAACTCGAGTTGATTTTGAGAAGTTGGTATTCAGAGAAAGCATGCCTATGATTTGTTTGTATTCACGTACATCAAGCTTTGTCTCCAAGAATCTTAGTCCACTTAAATCAGAGTTTGAGCTCAAATATCTATGTAAAATATGGGATTAGTTGAGAGTCCAGTCTGAATTCAGTTTGTGAGATCTGGTGTTGTTCAATTAAACTCTACTTAAATGGTGATAGGGAATTTTACTCGTTTTTATTCTGCTCCATTTTATAGACATTAAACTTTCAGAATGTGACCCTTTTGAATTACAACAATTCTGACATAATGAACTCGAATATTAAGTTTAAAACGCAACCAAAAAATACGACTTCATGTACCATGTTGTCTGTAAAATGAATCGAACATGGAAGATGTTATCGGGTCCAGTACTAATTTTTTGTCGATGCATCGACCTCTCTGCTTTACGTCTTTTGAGCGACTATTCACCCAAATTGCTTTTGAAATAAAAAGACACATAGGTATATATATATATAGTCGCATTTAAAAGATTTTATCACTGTTGCGATTACAAGAAACCAAATAAAGTGGTGTTTTTTTAAAATCAAATGTAAAGAAAAAAACAATGCATTTATGATTTTTTTTTTAGAAACACCTCTATTTTTCGTAATCTACATTATTCTTAAACTGAAGGTTTTAAGCGACTTTGAGGTAATTTTATAAAATGGAAATCTCAGATATTGTTTGATACAGCTATAGAGTATAGGTTGAAATAACTATATAGGTCTTTATAGCTGTATAGCTCAATCAGCATAGTGTACTGGACCTGGTTAGTGCAACTCTATTTACACTAGACCACAAGGATATTAAGATCATCAACAACAAATATCAGATGTAATTTGCTCATTATATTTTAATTATTATTACGTTATTACAATGTATCAAGGCTTGTGCATATGAATGTATAAGGAAGTGATGATTAAGCATTGCACAATTGGACACGACCTATATGAGGGCTGTCACAATATATCGGGAAACAGGTATATCGCAATACATGGGTATATCGTATCGTACCACCATACAGAGATGAACTATTGCTGTATCGCAATATTTCTAATAAGCCTATTCTTATGTATCTGCTTGGTGTTGTAACTTTGCAAATTATTACAAATTCTAACAAGTATGCCAATAAGCATAAAGCATGCTTTTAATGGTTTGACAAAAATCTTAAATCTATGTACACCATATTACTTAAATCTATGTACACCATATTACTTAAATCTATTTCTACCACAATACGCTGTGTTATTCCACTCTCAGATCATTGTATAAACACGCAGACTGTTAGATAAATATGCAATCTGAATAAATACAGCTGTTCATTATCACGTACCGCATGAAAAGCCGTAGGTATTTTCAATAACATCAGATTTTAATGAGATTGATAAATATGTGTTATATACCACACGTGGTATATGACCTTCAAGAGTTTTGATTGGTCGAGAAGATGAACTTTGACCGGGAAGACTTTTTCCACATGCCTTTTGCCACCTGCTGTTTTGTTTACGTCGTGGTAGTTTCGGCTAGTAGGTAAATACAACACATGTGCAATACGGAATGTTGTAATTCATGGTCCGAAAATTGCTTGTATTACTATAACAAGATTCAACAGGTATGTGATAAATCGTGATACACTCTCGGCGTATTGCGACACCCCTAACCTATACACACTTCCAAATATACATGTACTGATAATCAATGTGTACAATGTTTGGCAACGTCCAACTCTAAATTGCATGCAAGGTAATACAACAGTTGTTCATCGAAAATAACTGGGGTGCTAAAACAATAGCTTTCTTATTCCACATGGAAAAAAAAAGTAAATATCATGCTAGAAAATGTCGATTCTTTCATTTAGAAGAATCTGTTCGACCAATTGCCATTTTCTAAAAGAAAATGAAAGATGAAAAAAAATATGAGATTATAACATGTGTTGTAGTATTCCATTTACATTCTTACATTGTCATCGTACTCTTTGAAAATTATATTTTCAGTGTGTATTGTTTTCATCTGACAATCATTGAGAAGTCATTTCCCAGTCATAATATTTCTTGATAACTGTACAATAAAAAACATCCAAACCTTTCCCTTCAAATATAACAATTAGTTAAAAATCAAACGTAACATCACATGCGTATAAAAGGACATGTTCATTAGAAAGATATAAAAGTTTATTTATATCTTATTATAAATAAGTAGAAATACCTTTAACTATTTGTTATGTAAGCACATTAGTCTACCCGCTTACGACAGCAAGATAAGAAAGCCAGTGACAGCTATTAACTTGATGAAAACCTTATCAAAGTTGCCTTCAGTGTTCACTATATTGCATGCATCAGAAAATCATCAAATCCTGTAAGCTGATGGCCACATATGCATTACACATGATTACTGTCAGACACATACAAATGTCTTCTCAGTGAATGGGCAGAGAACCAGAAACACCCTTGCTTTATTACTGAGAACGACTTTTTAATGGTTCTCCACCAACTTACACGTAGCTCGTCAGGTTCACAGCACCAAATTCTAAGAGATATCCAAGGTCAGGTGGAGGTCACACAATCGTGCCATATTTTTTAACAAATTGTTCGAGATCATTAGCAGGAATTGTTGTTGCTGCTTCATTTATCTGCAATAAAAGTCAACACATTTGTTTGAAATGATAAAAACATTTGTTTATATTTTTTACACCATACTTTTACATTGAACTTTAAATTTTCTGAATGTGCATAATTAGTATATTTCAAAACAAAACTAATCCTTCAAAGATATTTTTGTTACAATGCACAGTTTATTGAGATTTTCAAAAATGTTCTATTCCTTATAATCAGTAGTTTAAGATTTAAGATTCATGATTATTCTCTTCTGAGGCATACAGCCCATCTATATTTTCTTTCTCTGAGAAATACAAATACTAAGCTGAGGTAATGGTATAACTTATGTCAATGAGACGAGCTTAAATATTTAATTTCACCATGAATACTTAAGGGACTGACCTGTCTCCACTTGTCAATACCGTTGTCCACTGTGCGTTTGGTGCCAAGGAGCTTTTTCTGTCGCAGAGCCACGTGGTCCCTGAGCAGGGTGTTCTGGTGCTCCAGCTGGGTGATGACATGCTGAAGCTGTGCCTTCTGTTTCTCTTTGATTGGGATATTGTGTACCTGACTGTCTTGCTGGGGGTCACCTGAAGGTCGCCTAACACAAACAGAAATATTTATATTTTGGAGGTCCGATTCTTATGCTTGCTTTAATATGATGTGTCCAATTTATTCACAGTATCAAATATCTTGACTTGTTTTTTTACAATTACAGGTATGTAAAAATATAGCTGATGAGTTTTTCGTCAATCATAAATATTTATGTTAATGTTTCTATATACAATACCTTACACATGTACATACCAAATGCAACATGTCCATACATTTCAAAAATATCCTCACCATGCCAGCTCTTTATTGTCTTTCTGACTGGCGATAATTCCATCCAGGTCATCTAGTATTTTCTCCATCTGTTCTTCAGCAAACATCAACATTACTTCCTCCTTCAAACAAACAAAAACGTGTCCACTATAAAATAATACCTTACAATAACCAATCAGTGTTGTTCCAATTAGTCAATCTGATCGATGATTGGTCATTTTACCTTTTCTTTGATCGAACATGGCTTGACAATAACAAAAAAAAAATTAAGAGTTAAAAGATTTGGAGCAGACCTGAAAAACGATAAAAACAAACACCTTTACTCTTAAGTTTCACCATAAACTGCTTTCAAACACCATTTCTGCCTTTATTTAGGCACTTAAAATATGTCCACGTCATTTTACCCATTTTGGTGAATGCTTCTCTGTTTCTTTTTCTTTCATTCCTTTACTATGTTATAATGAGGGGCAAGATGATAGACATGCATTGTAATCCATTAAGTATCACATCATTCTTAAAGTATTTAAAGTACCTTGTAGCAAGTGTCATGTCTATGTGATAAAAATGCTTGCACTGATGCTTTTGTTACGAAGAGTGATAGTACTCACTGTAATGTTCACATTTATGTAATTGGTTCTTTGCTAATGTACTGCCTAATGCCTCTTAATCAGGGCATGCAGTAGACCCTTGAGAGTATGTTTTTGACTCCCCTTAATTTGATTTGACTTGTGGGTTTATAGCTATAGGGACATGTCTACCATAATTGGCTTGACAATAACAAAAAAAAACTTGCACCAAAACTTTAACCGAGAAATTATATTAAGTCCAAAACACGTAAAAATTGCGCGAAAAAATTTCAATCCCAAACATGACAAAAACTTTAACCCAGAAATTGCACGAGAAAAGTTAAGTCCCAAACATGTCAAAAATTTATAAAAATAGGAATTATTTTCCCAAATTAAATCCATATTGTCCTTCTTAGACCCCACATGAACATCCATGCCAAAAATTAGGACAATAACACATGATCTGACTGAACTGTAGACCACTGAAGAAGTTTGCTCTGAAACTTTAACCAGAGGGACGGACGCAGACGCTTTACCATAATACACCCGTCGAAATTCCTTGTTCAGTTACCATTTGATTGATTAAATTTGTGATTTGAATATAATTGTTTTTAAATAATGTTGATGAACAACCTTTAAATGGATTACAGTAATTTTGACTTAGTGTAAATTTAGATTTTAAAAATCATATCACATCTGAAAATCTGAACAAAAAATAATAAATCAAATTAAGTTCACTGGAAATGCACAAAAACATTAACTTTACTGTCAACATACAAAGGTATTTTAGCTGTACAATGTAATATTTTTTTTGCATTTTTCACACTAATCCGAATATTCATAATCATGATTAGCAATAAAGGAATGAAGGGAATTTTGTATCTTCTGCTATCAGGATGTTTTAGCTGTTGAAGCTTGGTGTAGACATGTTCAACTTGCCAATAAGTCGTGCATACTTAAAGTATGGACCTGCATACTAAATATATTTGAAATTTATCCAATTTTGAATGGAAAGTTAAGTGTGACAGATGGACACATCAAAATATATATAGCATCTCCCACTTTTCTGAGATACAGTAAAACTGTATTCTGTAGGGTGCATGTTTCCTTCTGATATCAACAAACCACTAGTAACTAAATAAGTATCACCTATGTGTGTCAATACAAGTCATGTACAGGTAGACAGAATTCTGATATCAACAAACCTGAATCATCACAACTGTTGTGTTTGTGGATTAGACAACTTACACTAATGTGACAGTCTAGCTGCTTCGTAAGCTGTAAATGCATCTTTTTGAGGACTTCAGGATTCTTCTTGTGAATGGGACGAAGATGCTTTTGAAATAACTGTAACCTGTAATAAAGTGAAAAAAAGTCATTATATTTTGTATCCGTAACAGCTAATGTGTTTATCCCAACACAACACATACAACATGTTCATATCCAAGTGTTTTTAAATCTTTGAAATCAAGTACTAAGGTATATACTAGTACATACAATAACATTATGTAGTGTTTTATGGCAATCTGCGATCACTTTAAAAAATATCCAAACAAGAAATTATGTTAAAATATTCTAGATCCATAGATGGTGCCACTTCACATTAAATCCAATATTTACTTTTTATTAAAAAGACTGTCAAATATATGTTTGATTTTTTGTGTTATTTCCTTTAATTAGCCCCTACCTGTACCACTCTAAAAAAAAGGAAATAAAACAAACATGAATCCCGACCAGGTCTGACCTTCCCCAATTTTTCAGTCATGTTACCTGAAACATAAATATTTTTTTTGGTCTGACCAATTTATGAATTAGTTGATTTGATTTTTGAATTGTATCAAAATATTACATTTGCAGAGAAAATTTTGCAGTTTTCACAAGGCATGATCTTATTTTTATGGAGAATAACTGCGATAACAATGCAGGTTTGATTGCCAGTGGACCAGTGCAACTTTTCTGATGAATATCAGTTATAATAAGGGCTTTCATAGAGAATTTGAGCCTCGGCAATAGTACGGTTATCTGGGATTAAAAACACAACCTGTACCTAGATGTAGGCCAGGAAACTCTTAAAATTTGACAATGAATGCAAAACATCGCTGATGAAACTGAGTCTTTATTGATAATGGTAACAGGAAAGAGAATAGTGTGCTTCAGTTCCACCGGTGACATAGAACCCTCAATCTCCAGATTCCTAGTCGAACGCTCTACCACTGAGCTAAAGGGAATTTCCCTCCAGCTCGAAGCTGGAAAGCGACCTTAATCATGTGTACAATTAAAACCTGCCACACTACGTATACTCCCCCCTTTTTAAATGTGTTCGCCCTCAAAACACCACAACCCAGGTTCCAACTCCCTGTCACCATAGGAAGGCCCACGGACACCGTTTGTAACAGGAAAGAGAATCCACCGGGGATCAAGCACTCAATCTCCAGGTTCCTAGTCGGACACTCTACCACTGAGCTAAAGGGAAATTCCCTCCAGCTCGAAGCTGGAAAGCGACCTTAATCCTATGTACAATTAAAATCTGCCACAATGTTATCAATTTTATTTTATACACTAGTACTAGTACTGCAACTATGTATATCTTCTGTCTTATAAAATCGTGGAATTAGATCTAATTCTGTGATAAAATATGATATGTCCCTGCCTCTGTCGTGCTTTTGGACATGTATATTTCTTTATGGTGCTAAAATTCAGTGGCGGATCCAGGGGTTTTTTTTGGGCTTCAGGACTTTTATTTTCAAAATCATGTATTTTAACCATTTTCCTCACATGGAACACAGGGTCACGTTACAAATGTCTGAAATACACATATGCTATACTGATATGGGTCACAACACACATAAACATACACGTATGTTTATGTGTGTTGTGACCCGTATCAGTATAGCATATTATGTGTATTTCAGACATTTGTAACGTGACCCTGTGCATGGAAACTCCCCTGGAAATTAAGAAACACACCAGATAGGTCTCTGGATCCGCCACACATAACTCTTGTGTCGTGTGTTCGTATACATTTTTTTTATTTATTTGTTACAATTGCAAGCCCTTGTGGATGGAAGCGTATAGGTAACAACAGAACGGCGTATGGACAGGGGTTCGAATTCGTTACACATGTCTGAAACACAGGGGCATGGATCGCTTTACTTTTAATATTAAAAAAAAGGGCTCCTATACTAATAAATATTTATTAGTATAGGAGACCCTTTTTTTAATAATTACAAGTAAATCGATCCATACCCTTGTGGTCTGAAATACACATACATTGTATGCTATACTAATATCGGTCACATCATACATAAACATACTTATCTACGTGTGCTGTGACCCATATCAGTATAGCACATGTGTATTTCGGACATTTGTCTGTTTGTAACGAACCCTGAGGTGTATGGGAGCAGATTTGAATGAAAACTTTCGAATACTTTGCAGATGAAATAATCTTTTTCCTGGCCTGTGTCAACGCATTATTAAGAATCTGCATTCGTCCTAGTGACTCTGGCTTCTGTGATTCGTCTTTCGTTGTATCCATAGACTCGCTTTCATCTGCCATTATGTTGTCGTTAGTGTTTTGATTTCCCGCGGAGATGTTCGAAATTTCCCACTTATCTTGGCGGTAGGTAAATCTTGTACGCCGCTCCCGCTCCCGTCCCAAAACCCCGTACCAGGCATATAGAGATATTTTAATATCTCATTAACGCGATCGTTTATATTTTTTATAAAATTATACAATAATTTCAAACATTATTTTCTAAATGTGACTATTAATAAAATGTAAATTTATCATCTAATAATTTAGAAATTGACGATAATGTTTATTTCAAGGGGGTAAAACTTGTACGCCGCAGTCAACCGTGAAAATCACGGTTTTTCATATATAATTAGATATTCAGTGAAAATTAACATGTTGTTTTCAGATATATAGAACAAAATACCTTACTGTTTATAATTATGTAAGTTTCGTTGAAATAAACGACATATTTCACATGAAATTCTGACTTTGTTGTGATCGCGGGGTGTTTTGTTTACTCCCGTACCCGTCCTAAGGGGACATCACTATGTCAATCTATGTCGTTATCAAGTAGAACTCTTCGCCATTCTATTAGAATGTTTCCAGGCTCTGCGACGAGGACGCAGTTCTACATAAGAGCCCATTTTTTGTTAAACTATATAAATATATATATATAAGATTAATAATAGTTCACAAAATAAGAATTCATGATTGGTTATCATTAGAAAAGAATGGTTATTTTTATAAAAAATGAAACGTTTTATAAAAAATGATTTTATGATTGAAATAATTGTGTTCTTTTTCAAAAGGAATTTTAAGTTTACTCACTACACATTTTAACTTTTAATAGGATACATCTACAAATACATTAAAAAATACCAAAAATACT